AGAGATGTTAATAGGCAGCCTCTTCTCTGGCTCTCTTAGGAGAGGAGGCTTGGCTGGAAATAGAGATTTTGTAATTATTAGTTTAGTCATGGTCATTGAAACCTGAACTGTGGAAAAGTTTGTGGAGAGTGAGTGGTGGATTGGGAAAAGGATAACTAGTGAAAGATGAAGCTGAATGATAGAAATTGAGCCACATCCATGGGTAGGATGGGGAAACTAAGAGACGGTGTGTCTCTGGAGACACAGAATTGCTGCCCAGTGAGTCATGTAGGGCAATGGAGTAAGGAGGTCCTTGCCCATCTGGTTGGAGGCAGTTTGAATCCAGTTGAAGGATGTGGGAAACAAGGAAAGAGAGAACAGGGTAGACAGTTCCTCTCTGAGTCTAGGCTCCCTCCCTCATCACTTGAGGCCTGTGGAATGTTAAGGTACTACACATTAACTATTAGTGGGCTGTACCTAAATGCAAGTGGGTTTTTGTTTGGCTAATTAAATAGTCCAAATATATTTCTAAACCATTTAACACAGCTACGTACAACCTATTGCAAGTACTTCAAAACAAATTAAAGATTTACATCATTCCTAAATTCATCTTGGAGCCTTGCATTCTGAGAGCTGGGTGTGGTAGCATGTGCCTGGAGACAGGAGGATGAGGAGCTCAAAGCTAGCTTACGTGACATGAGACCCTCTTTCAAAAACAACTTCATAGTATGCCAATATGTTTGATATTGCTTGCTGTCCTGAAACAATGCTACCAAGTATAATTGAAGATCCAGTGTAAAAGAAATCTTTGTTCTTCAAGGATTGCAGCTATTAGAACAGATGTGTGCTTTATATTTTGTCCCTGTTGGGTTACAGATCTTCATGTACACTTGACCAGAAAAGCAATATGGGTTAGTAGGGTCATGATGAGGAGGAAGGGACATTGCTGATTTTGGTGACATGACCCTATGGTGATTCTCATTGGAAACAATGCTGTGAATGCAGCCATATTGGACCTTCGATGTTTAATGGGCTCTCTGGCCTCCTGGTGACCTTGTTTCATCCTTTTGATGATGTGACTTCCTCTGTCTGGGAAACCTGGTTCCTCTTCAGAAGGACCTCCAATAGAAGATCCATAGAAAGGACAGGTGTAGAGTTTTAGAGTTTGACTTTCCAGTTTCTGCCTTTCAAAAATCATCTTAAGGGCCAGTAAGAAGGCTCAGCAGGTAAAAATGCTTGCTGTGAAGCCTGATGATCATAGCTAAATTCCTGGAACCCACACGAAGGAAGAAGAAACTGACTCCCACACGTTGCCCTCTGATCTCTAAGTGCATGCCATGACATACCTGCCTGCACACATAGCATACACACCCCACACAGTCATGTTCACCCACACAAAAGAATTAAATGTAATCTTAAAAATTTTATATCATCTTAATCTATAAAACATTTTCCATTCAGTAGCTTTACATAAACATGTCTTTTCTAATTGCATATTATGTTTCATTTTTTAAAATTCTTATAGAATTTGTATAGTAGTGGATTTAAGAATCCAAGTAATAAAAGGGAAGCGACAACAGTAGATGTCTAAAAAAAAATCACAGCCTAGAATTTTCAACAGTCAATTCTCAGCCACTCCTCACACTTGTGGGAAGCTATGGCCTATGAGAGAGACAGCAGTCTAGACACACAGACACTTGGCAGGGAAGACAGTGAGATGAGGGTCTGACCACATCTGGAGTTCCTCTGAGTGATGACATCCTTCAACCCCGAGCCAAACACTGAAACATAAAATGTTTCTCCCTTTGACTTTAGCTTTATTTACCTTTGTGTTTTCTATTCTGTACTTCTCTAGTGCCTGTACACACACACACACACACACACACACACACACACACACACACACACACACAGCCTTCACACATATCACACATACATCACACACAAACATATTTATCATGTGCACACACACACCTATCACATACACAAACATACCTATCACCCCCCCTCTCTCTCTCACATACACACACAAAAAAAAAAAAAAACACAAAGAAAGAAATCCTGAGTTTAATTCCCTTCCTTTCTGCAGGCTGCCTGACCAAACAGTAGACTGGCAGTATTGTAACCTGCCATGGTTAGGTTGCAGCACTCCATCCCAGCTGTGTGACACATGGACCATTTATAGACTAGTGAATCTGTAGCTGCAGAGGTAGCTGTTTTTTGTTTTGTTTTGTTTTTTCCTGAGGGGGAGGAGGTCTGGGGCTTTTCTTCTTATGGAGCCTCATGGGTGTCACGGAGAGGGCCACTGACTGTGTCTGTGATGACTTGAAGAGCAACTCTGTAGGAAGCTATACTCCAGACTGGAAGGAGTAGTTTCCATGCATAGCCCTTATGTTCCAGCAAGAGGCCCTCACACCTCGCTATTCCAAAGAACATGCTGAAGAGTATGTGGCCGGAAGCTGGGAGCCTCAGATGCTGAAGAGTGTGTGGCAGGGGAACCTCCAATCCAGCTCCAGGGCTGCCTAGGGAGTATCCTGTGGTCAGGACACTGTCACTGCTAGGCCTTGTGGGAAAACATTTCTTGAGAGAAGCTCCAGGCTGGATCAGGTTTCTTTGTTCACAGGAGAAAGTTCCTCCATGCTCCATCCACACTTTGGTGGTTTCAGGATGAGAGCCTCATAGTTAGATATGTGTTTATTCTGCATGAGGTGATGCCGAACCTTTAGAGAACTGGTTTATATTCATCATGACTCCCCAGGCCTGTCATCTGCATCAAAATGGATTTAAAGCTAAGACACTTCACAAGAAGATATCCAATAGCCATTAAATGTATTTGTTTAAGTGTTCTCAATATCATTCCCATACTAGTTAGTTTTAACTGTCAATTTAACACGGTCTAAAATTATCTGGAAAGGGAATCTTTAAAGGAAATTAAGATATCTTTTATTTTATGTTTAGGATTATCTTACCTGCATGAATGTATATATGTGTACCATGTGCATGGCTGGTACCCTCAGAGGTCACAAGAGGGTCTCAGATCCCCTAGAATTGGATTATTGGCAGTTGTGAGCCATAATGTGGGTGCTGCGAACCATACTTGGGACCTCTGCAAGAGCAACAAATATTCTTTAACTGCTGAACAATCTCTCTAGCCCCACGGAAAGAGAATCTTAGGATTATCTAGCCCAGGTTGGCCTGTGGGCATGTCTATGTGTGAGGTCCTAATTGCTGGGGCCCCTAAACATCATTTAGCAAATTGTAGGCAGGGGTTTTGAACAGTGTAAGGGAAACAGAAATGCAAATGAGGAACAAATGCTTTGACTTTCTCTGCTTCTAACTGTGGATGTGGTGGTCAGAGTTCTGTTTTGACCTCCTGCAGGAATGGACTACAACCTGGAATTCCAAGCCAAGCAAACCATTTTCTCCCCTACATTGCTTCTTGTCAGGTTATTTGTCATAGTGACAAAAATAAAACTTGGATGATTACCTCTTCAGGGTGTGAAGGTTAAGATACAATTGAGATGCAGCTACAGACCCACTGAAATTCAAACTCCACCAGTACTCTGTTATGATAAATCTTTCCGCCAAAAGCCGCCGAGCCCCACCGCCACGTGTGAGCTCTACGTCAGCTGCCTGCCTGAGTTAGGGCCCCAATTAATGCACAGAGAGACTTGTATTAGGTACAGTGCTGCTTGGCAAATGACTCAGATTCCTCATCTGTTAGCTCAGTCTTAAATCTATATATTTTATAAGACTTATCAAGCCGCCCAAGTTCTGCCCACCACGAGGATGGACAAAATAATACAGAGACATATTAGGTACAAAGCTGCTTGGCCAAAGACTAGGATTCTCATCTGTTAGCTCAGTCTCAATTATCATAAATCTATATATTTTATAAGACTTATCTTATCGGGTGCCTTATTGGAGTCCCTCTTTGCCGGCGGATCACATTGCGCCGCTGGAGGAAGAGTGGAGGGGGAAAAGGACATTTCCTGTTTCTCCTTGCTTAAATATGAGTCTCCTTGCTTTGTCACTTCCTGCCTGGATCACCACTTCTCTACTACATTTCCCAGAATCCTTTTGACTCCTAGTCCTGTCTAACTTGCTGTCTCATTGGCCAAACAGTATTTTATTCAATAATCAATAAGATGAACATACACAGTACATTCCTCATCGGTACTCTACTAGTTAAGATACAGAAGGGTGTGTAATAGCAAAACCATTCTAGAAACCTGCTGTGTACTCTTTTCCAAAGCTCCATTAGCCCTCTGTGACTCAGTAGTTCATATCCTAGGTTTTATTCAAGATACGTGATTCCACATGTTCACTTGAATGCACGCACAAGACCTTTCTTGGGAGTTTTAGCTCAAAGACAAAACAACTTAACTGCCCATCAGCAGAGGAACAGATAAGCAAACGTTAAGACATTTGTGTAAGATCATACAGGAGGAAAAAGAAGTAGTTGCATAGAACAGCACCACTTAAACTCATGGCCTTGATAGTTAGAGATGGAAAGCAGATACAAATGAATACATGTTGTGTGGTTCCTTTAAGCTAGTCTAAGGTGACAGATGAGATTAATTACTTCCAGTGTGAGGAGCATTGTTGGGGAAGGATGTTGTGATGATGGATGTATCTATCCATGCAAATTCCCTGAACTGCAGTGAACTGTATTCACTCTTTCTTTTGTGTGTATAGTTTATGCCCCTGTAAAGGCAATTGGAAAGATTAGTATATTAAAATAACTTCCACGTTCTATCCACTCCATCTGCATCCCTGCTCTCATGTATGTGGTGTTTTAGATCTAGGGACATGTGAGGCAATAGAAATTGGAGCATGGGGCATTTCATATATCGTATTATCTCTATTGATGGTCTTGGACACAAGGGGATGAGCTACTTCATTGAGAAACAGCAATTCACATTTGTCAAAGAAGAATCTTGACCCCAGGATTATTGTAGGGGAGAAATGTAACTTCTGATGGAATTTAATAGAAACTCTTAACAAGATTTTCTCCCCAGGAGTGGCAGCTAGAGAAACAGCCCAAGCTCTGAAAACATTAGCCCAGGCTGCCCGGGGAGTGGCTGCATCCACAAATGACCCAGAGGCTGCTCATGCCATGTTAGATTCTGCTCGGGATGTGATGGAGGGCTCTGCCATGCTCATCCAAGAAGCCAAGCAGGCCTTAATTGCACCTGGCGATACAGAAAGTCAGCAGAGGCTAGCCCAGGTGAGTCTGAGACCTGGGAACCATGGTCGTTGGGATTGTGTACAGGACAGCTACCTTATTGGATACATTTTCCTGGCAGGAATTCTTGGGCCTCAGTAGTTATCTTCATGTCCCTCAAAAATGTATGTGATAACAAGACTGACCATACATGTACTCACAGTTATATCTTACTTAGTATTTTTCACATTAATCTACTTTATTCATAATCAACAATGACATGGGGGCTTTGAGCTCTGTCTGGCTTGGGACTCTAGACACAGCATGCTTTCTCAGAACTTGTATATCCTTCACTAAACTCCTCTTCCTAGTGAAGTAGATATAATGCAGGTCCAACTACCCAGAAGTTCTGAACAGATTGTCGTAACCTCTTCTTGTGATTCTTTGGCTATCCAATGAAACCAGCTGGCTAGGAACAATCTGGGCAGAGTTCTCCACATGGGGCTGGGAAGGTGTTTTAGAATTAAATAATGGAAGGTCGCTGCCACTCCCTGGCTTCCCTTTGAACTGAGGTGACCAGAGTGTGCAAGCAGGGAACCGTTTCAGTATTCCTGAAAGGCAGCATGAGGACATCTTCACCATGTTGGGGTAGGTAGACTGGAGCACCCTCTTTACCTGTTGTGTGAGAGTGGGGTTCTAAGGTGTGTGAGCACCAAAGGTTCACTGAGAAGAACCAGTCAGAGGCTTAGCTGTGCTCAAAGAACTCCAATACAGCTCCAAACTTGGGGACCTCAGCAGCTTCCAGAAGAGGGAGGCATTTCTTTTTCATTTAAGAGGAGGTGCCTATGCTTCAGGACCTAGCCTCATATTGGAGAATTCTGTGTTTGGATTCTAGAGCTGTGGTGCCTCCCAGCCCTGGGGAGCAGATGGCATGGGGAGCATCTAGGTGTTACCCGAAGCACCAGGGTAGCAGAGAGCTGGCCAAGGTGATTTAATTTAGTTAGCAAGATTGGGTGGATGACAGTGAGTAATTCCCATGTTGATGTCAGCTCTGCATATTTTCTCTGCTCTTTCTCAACAAATGTGCAAAGGCATTTGTGCCAGAAGTGGATTTCTTAAGGTGTTTCCCTCCCTCTGTGTTTGCAGGTGGCAAAAGCTGTGTCTCACTCCTTGAATAACTGTGTGAATTGCCTCCCTGGCCAGAAGGATGTGGATGTGGCCTTGAAGAGCATCGGGGAGTCCAGCAAGAAGCTGCTTGTAGACTCGGTGAGGTCCTTGTCTGGCAAAGGGTACCAGGTAGCTGTCCACCCAAGGAGGGAGCATGGCTTTCCCCTCCCTGGATCTCAGAGCATCTTTCTCTTAGGAGTTCTGATTTTCTGTAATATTCTGTTTCCTTTCTGGTCAACAAAGTTCCCAAGGGAGGAATTGTCAGGGAGGAGTTTGTACTGGTGTGAGTGTACATGTGTGTGCAAGTACATGTGCATATGTGTGCACATGCCTCTGGAGACCAGAGGATGCTTCAGGTGTTATTCCTTGGGTGCCTTCTACTTTTTCTTTGAGGCAGGATGTCTCAGTGGCCTGTAACCTCATCAAGTAGGCTAGGCTAGCTATTCAGTGAGCTTCTCATCTCACCATCACTGGGGTTACATGTGTACACCACCGCTCCGATTTTTATGTGGGTGAATTGAACTCAGTCTTCATGCTCATCAGGCAACCCATTTACCAATGGAACCACTTCCCTGACTCCCATGGGGGAGCTTTTAACATTGACTTTTTTTTTTTTCTTTTTTCGAGTACATGTTTGCTCTTGAGTCACCTGAGTGTGGGACAGAAAAGAGGCTATGATCATCTAGATCTTTATCAGGGCCTGACAGATGGTGACAGACAATCCAAGGATAGAAGGATACTTGCTTAAAACTAATTAAGAAAGAAGATATCGTAAAGGTTTTTTCCTTAGGGCCCTCTCCTAGCCCACGCTGAAAGAAGTATGGTGCACATCCGTCTGCTCCTTCTGGTTACAGATATTCAGCGGTGTATATGGGTGCTCAGTAGAGTATGACACATTAATGGCTTTAATTCCACAAATGATACTACACTGGGTGTGTGTCCCCCACTTTAAGCTATTTACAAGGACCACTAATAAAACAAAATTGGCAGTTATCTGTTAAGAAGAATGTGATTTGAAGTTGGCTATCATCAACCTCTTAGTTCTAACAGCTTAAACTGAGAGTTCCCACCATGAGAGACACAAAAGAGGGTGGAGGCTGAATCCCAGAGATGAGTTGCTTGGGCATGATTCCTTGCCCTGCCATTTCAGTGAGTATCTGTGACTGGAGGATAGCCGCTTTCACCACATTTATCTCTCTGGTGTCTGCTAAGTAGACATTCCACAAGTGTGGATGGATGGATGGATGGATGGATGGATGGATGGATGGATGGATGGACAGATGGTTAGATGGATGGAGATGTGTTAAAGGGCCAGCTTAACATGGGCATACATTGTGCAGAACCATTTGTATAAACTGAGGACATGATCACTCCAGGGTATGGTTGAGGGGACAGTTTTTATTGTATGGGAAATTACATACAGAGGTATCTGGAAGAGTCCAGAGCAGGGAGAAAAAGTAGTAAGCGGTACATGACCAGCAGACTTGACCACGCCATAAGATGAGGGGGAGGGGAAGGAGAGAGGAAGTTAAAAAGAGTAAATAAGTCAAAGGAGACCAAGAGAGAGGGGGCCAAGAGTGGAAGACAAAAGAGAGAGGGGATCAAGAGAGTGCATGGCCAAAATGGCAGGGTTACATGGGAATGAGAAGCATGGTGACAGAAGCCTGTGAGCTGGAGTTTAGGGTAAAGGGTGGTGTGAGAAGAGCCTAGGTACTTGGCATGCTCTTTGGTATGCTGATATGCATCACAGATAGCCATTTGTTTCTTTTGGATGACTCAAAAGCACATCCCTGGGCAGCCACTGTCCCTTCCTCAATACCTTCCTTTACCCCTCTTACACAAGGTAAAACTTCCCATGGCATGTGCCTTTTGTCCTCATAGCTACCTCCGAGCACAAAGCCTTTCCAGGAAGCCCAGAGTGAACTGAACCAAGCTGCTGCTGATCTGAACCAGTCTGCTGGGGAAGTCGTCCATGCCACGAGAGGCCAGAGTGGAGAGCTGGCAGCCGCTTCTGGAAAGTTCAGTGATGACTTTGATGAATTCCTGGATGCTGGCATTGAGATGGCTGGCCAAGCGCAGGTAGGTGGGAAGGTGGTTTGTGTTGCCACACTTTGGTAGACCCTCCAGCTGAGGGCAGCTGGGTGAGTGGGAGACAGGATCCTGTAAACAAGCTACAGCACCTTCCTTGACTGCCTTAGAAATTTTGTGATCTCACAAGCTTGGCATGCCCAGCATTGCTGGGGATGATAGTGACTTTTCCCAGGCTTCTGTAGTTTGGTGGACTCACTTGAATGGATTACATCTGGTGCTTTCAGGTGATTAAAAATGACCTCATTCAGACAGAGCGATGAGAGCCACTTATTTATAGCTAGGGAACATGGCTGGTCTGGCATCAGATAGCAAGACTGTTTTTTGTTTGTTTGTTTGTTTGTTTGTTTGAGGTTTTACGAACTTCCTAAAAAGATATCGAGGGTATTTCTTGCTATATTTTCTACAAAAGGTCATTTGTCAGTTAGCAAGCTGGGTGAGAAGTTTGTCCTTCCCCCGTCGGATATTTCCGGGATGCTGTCAGCTCTGAATATCTACATAGTGTTAGTCGTTTGTGCCAGGCTGGGATGTACAAGACACTTGACAACTCCAGCATTGTTGAGCAAGATGCTCAAATCATTGCCCAGTCTGTGCACTGGGGCAGCTCTCATTCTGCCCCTCCCAGTCCCTTAACACTCCCATAGAATAGGAAAGCAGAACTCCTGACTGACCCACTTGGACATGGATTTCTTCCTGCCACATGGCTCTGGCTCAGAGCATCTGCTTGAGGATGTGTAGATTCTGGTTACACACCTGCAGACCAGCTCTACCTTGGGAGCTGTTTCTAGCTTCTGGGGAAGCTGTGGTCAGTCCCAACTGACCCGTTCCCTTTGATTCTCCAGACGAAAGAAGACCAGATGCAGGTGATAGGGAACCTTAAGAATATCTCTATGGCGTCCAGCAAGCTGTTGTTAGCCGCCAAGTCTCTCTCTGTAGATCCTGGAGCTCCCAACGCAAAAAATCTTCTAGCTGCAGCTGCAAGGTAAGAGTGGGACAAGTTGTGCTTTGTGGATGTGTAAATAGTCCTGTCACATTTGAAGGCTATGCCCAGCATCCTGCCACTTTGACTGAGCAAAGAACTGTTGCTGTCCTTGTTGTTGGAGGGAGAGCAAATTGATGGAAATTCTGGCGTTTTGTAAAATTAACTCCTTCCTATATTTTGGACCCATTAAGAATGTCTTCCAGCCAGGTGTTGGTGGCACACGCCTTTAATCCCAGCACTCGGGAGGTAGAGGTAGGTGGATCTCTGTGCATTCGAGGCCAGTCTGGTCTCCAGATCGAGTGCCAGGATAGGCTCCAAAGCTACACAGAGAAACCCTGTCTCGAAAAACCAAAAAAAAAAAAAAAAAAAAAAGGGAAGAAGAGGAAAAAAAGAATATCTTCCATCTTTATAGATGGTTTAAGTAGATTGTTTTTTTCCATTTTCATGTTCATGTATAGTATGGTATATGTGAATGTATGGTAGTATATTTGCATTTAGGAGCACATATATAAAAACCTGAAGTGGATGTTGGGAATCATCCTTGAACATACTCTATCAATCTTCCACCTTATTTATTAATCAAGGTGTTTTAGTCACACCCAGAGTTTGCCAATAGGGCTCGTAGTCTCACTAACCAGCTTTTTCTGAGGAGCCCCATCCAGGAGCCAAGGCTAGAATTACATGTGGGCCACCACGTTCACTTAGCACTTTACATGGGCTCTAGGAATGTGAACACTGGTCCTCAAGAGTGCTCAGCCATTTGAACCACCGCCATCTCCCTGGTCCCTAAGTTGGTTGTTTAAAACATTATACTGTTCAGATTTTACAAGAAATATGTGCTCACTGAAATAGACATTGGAACATGCAAACAGTGCTCCAGCCAGTCTGTAAACACTGAGCATGTACTACATGCTGGCATCCATGTTGGACTAGGTTTTAGCTATTTTATCCATCACTTGCAGGAGGGCTCTGGTTTAGGGTCAGTGGGGTGACAACGGATATACACCGTTATTGAACTGAATTAAATGTGTAACCCAGTTTGGGGTGATTTCAGCACTCTTCCCTCTACCCAGTCACTGCTCACTTCAGGGATATAATATGATTTCTGATGATTTCCAGCCACCACTGTTACACTTGAGCTCAGTGAGTAAGATTGACAGCTGGTTTGTGTGGCACTAGGCTGCTGTGATGGCCCAGGACTGTCTCACACAGCATTCTCACCTTCATTTTCCAGCACTTGAAGCCAAGACTGTGCTATGAATCCTCAGTGTTGTTTCTGGTTGTGTATAACAACACTGAGGGTGGCGAGACATTAACTGAGAGGTGACTGGGGACATAGAGTAAGGGGAAACCTTTTAAAAATGTGCGCATTTGTGGTAAGCTTCAATTCTGCTTACATTCTATTCATTTTAACTTGTGTATTTATTTACCTATTTTTTGAGGTAGGCTCTCTGTGTATAGTCCTTAATGTCCAGGAACTCTCTATGTAGACTAACCTGTCCTAGAACTCCCAATGCTTCCCCACTGTTAGGATCAAAGGCACGCACTTGACTTGCATTTGGTTTTTGTTTGTTTGTTTAGTTGTTGTTCCTGCATTTAAGCTGTCTGTTTCAAAACCCTGAATTCTAATCCAAGATGTTTTAATAGTATACCTACTCAGTCAAATGTTCAGATGGGTCAGCCTGCCCAAGCTTTGCTAACTGTAAATGGGGGTGTAAGCACCAGTTGCCTTCAACAGTTTTTAGCACTTATGGTACTAATGGTGGCATCCTGTCTCTCCTCCCTTGTTGATTTGAGTGAACTTTTTTTTGTTGTTGTTGTTTTTTTTTTGTTTTTCGAGACAGGGTTTCTCTGTATAGCTTTGGAGCCTATCCTGGCAATCACTCTGGAGTTGAGTGAACTTTTTAAATTTGTGTTTGCCTTTTTCTTCATGAAGGGTTAGACAATTCTCTTGCAAGCCTTCAGATTTACTTGTTTAACTTCTGTATTAGCTATTGTCTTTTTGCTGTGACAACGTATCTGACAAGAGCCACCTAAGGAAACAAGGGCTCAAAGCTTGAGGGTACAGTCCGTCATAGCAGGGAAGTCATGGCAGCTGAACTTTGAGGCAGCTGGTCACATTGCCTCTGCTCTCAGGAAGAAAATGAGTGGATGCTTGTACTAGGCCCCCAGCCCATGGAATGGTGTTACCCACAGTTAGGGTGAGCCTTCTCAGCTCTGTGAACACAATTCAGAATCTTCTTCACAGGCACGTGTAGTGCTTTGTCTCCTGGGTGATTCCAGAGCCTGTCAGGCTGACAGTCAATATGAATGATTGGAGCAGCAGGTACATTTAGTGGCTAACAGTAGCCAGAGCCACAGGCGACTGCAAAATTCCCTCTCATCAACCCGCTCCAGTCTATACTTCACTTGTGATTGCTCTGGTAGAATAAATGTCATCCCTCAACAGTGCAGGCAGGGATAGGGTGGGTGTCTGTCCTATTTGGTCCAAACCCTTGAAAGGCTTATTTTTTCTTACTTTTTTTTTTCCAGCCAAAAGCCTTTGGGAAAGACAACTGATGTTTCCAGGTGTCTGAACTCCAATGTTTTTTTATTATCTTCATTTTTTGCATCATTTCCAAATTGTAGTTTCAAGCTTTAATGAGCTGTTCACTCTCTTGAACTGTGGGAAGAAAGGGAGAATATAAATTGTCTTTTTAAAAAGCTAGCAGCTATAGACGGTCACACAGACCAGGAAAGAATTATGGCTGCAGGTATCCACAGGCCCCCTGGTGGTAGATCTGAGAACAGCAGCCCAGATGGAAAATCTCAGCCTGTGACAACACTTTCAGGCTGACAGTAAACATGGAGCTTGAGGATTGTTTTTGGTTTTGTTTTGTTTATTTTGTTGTTGTTATTGTTTTTGAGATGGAGTTTCTCTGTGTAACAACCCTGGCTGTCCTGGAACTTGCTTTGTAGTCCATACTGGCCTCAGACTCACAGAGAACTACCTGGCTCTGCTTCTCAAGTGGGATTAAAGGCGTGCAACACCACTACCTGGGGATCCTGAAAGTAGTGATGTGGAGTAGAAGGGTAATGATGATTGATCCCGGCATTTCCTTTGTGATTTTTTTGGTGCATTTTGGCTCCTTCTGCTCCTGGGTGGTTCTTGGTTCCTCAGCAGGTACTCCTGCCAGATCCAAGGGTCCAGCAAGCTCCCGTGGAGGCAGAAGCTTCGTCCGATTAGGGGATCATCTGTCCATGCTTGTTTCTTAGGTTCTTCATGGAGATGTATATAATGGGCCTGATGGGTCAAGGCCAGTGCTGGGTACTGGGTCCTGGATGTTAGGTATACACACATAGGCTCATACAAGTACATAGGAGATTGAGCAACAAGGTCCTCTGTCTTCAGAACCACAGTCCTCTCCATTCTGGCAACAGTGCAGCCCTGCTTGTCCCTCTGTGAATGACTCTAGCTTACCTGTCCTATTGCTGTAACCCTAGTTCTTTGGGGCACCATGATCCTTCATGCTTTGGGAACAGAAGTTGCCTTTGAAGAAAATACTGAGGTTATTTTTTTCTCACCTCTAAACTCTTCCTTAATACCTCAGGGGACTTGATGATGGGCCTTTGGTTTATGGCACCTGTGGGGAAGAAGCTGGGTTCTATCTGGTACCCATCTTGATCATCTTCCTGTGTGGCTGGCCAGGCTCTGGATCTGTCAAGTCAGATGGAGCTGGAGAGCCATTTTGAACTAATTCTTCTGGCTCCTCCCATGGAGGAGCTGGTCTCTTGGTCTGACCCTCCTTGAACTTGGGCCTGGAATGGAAAACCAGTCTACAACTGCAGGAAGGACTCGTTTCCTCTGAACAGTGTCCCCACTGATTGGTGTCAACATGTATCACCCTAGCCACAGGGACAGCTGGCCAGCTGTTTTCCTGTCTTCTGAGGGTCTCCCTAGGAAATGGGGACTCCTTGTGTCCCCTTGGATCCTTCCTACTAGTCAGGTTTCTTCCCATCTCCAAAGACTGACAGAGAGAGGATGATCAAGCAAGCTGCACAAAAGGGAGGGTAGCCTGCACCAGATAAAATAGAATAATATAAATGGCAGCCCTCCTCTCTTGTCAGTCTCATCCAAAATGTTCTAAGCTTTTATCCAAGCCAGGATCTAACTCAGCATAGACTCTTACAATGTCTTAGACCTCATTCAGACCTTTGTGCAGAAATCCAGTCCTATGATGAAGGTTGATTTTTTTCCCATATGCTTTTTTTTCCTGGTATCTTGTCAGCAACCTATCCTGTCCTATCTCATGCCATGTCTGCCTTGGTGTCTTACCTTTTGTCGTCTTGCTTCTCCAGCCAGATTGCCAGCACCTTACTGGCCTAGGGAGATTTAAACTACATCATATTTGTTTTTAAGTCTCCAAGCCTTGGGTATAATAAGGCCCAGTGAATGCTTACAAAAAAAAAAAAAAAAAAAAAGACTGCCTCTCTCCTCCCTTCTTTGCAGAACACACTAGTCATGTTTTATTTTCCCTCCAAGTTCCTTAACAGGTGACTTTTTACCTTGTAATGATTCCAGCACTACATAGTAAGACTTTGTCTCAAATAAGTAGGGGAAAAAATCCATGCCAGGTCTGCCAATCTTGAGTTAAGTCAGTTCTGTATCTCTGGAACAAAGTGATTTTACTTGAGAAACCCCTGTTAACCTCTTAGGGTCCAGTCTCCATTCTTTAAATACACCTAGATAGAAGACAAAGCATAGACTGGGTGGTGGTGGTGGTGCATGCCTTTAATCCCAGCACTTAGAGGCAGAGGCAGGTGTAGCTCTGTAAATTGGAAGCCAGCTTGGTCTACAGTGAGTTTTAGGACAGCCAGGGTGGTTATACAGAGAAACCCTGTCTCAAAGAACCAAAATAGTAGATGATAGATATAGATAGATAGATAGATAGATAGATAGATAGATAGATAGATAGATCACAAGAAAATACAATCTGTAGATTGCGAAATATAACTATTCAACCTATTTCTGTTGTGTGTGTGTTTGTGTGTGTATACTTGTGTATGTAAAGGCCAATGGTAAATGTTGGGTGTCTTACACAGTCACTTCCCATCTTACTCTTTGAGCCAAGGTCCCTCATTGAACATGGAGCTCACAGTCTCAGATAGATTGACTGATCACCCAGGCCCAGGCCTCCTCCTTGTCTCTGCTTCCCCAGGCATGTACCACTGCACCCTGCTTTTTACATGGTTGCTGGGCATCTGAACTCAGTTCCTTATACCTACACAGCAAGTGCTCTACCAACTGAGCCATCTCTCAAGCCTTAATCTTTTTATATTAAAGAAATAAGTTGGTGTAGATTTGACCATTAAAAAGTTGTGGTTAAGAATTATTATTATTATTATTATTATTATATAAATTGGCCAATGTATAATTTTTTGAGATTTGTTACAATTTAGTTTTAAAACAACACTATAACTCACTATTAACCTTTTTATGTGTTTCAATCTATCATTTGTACAGGAGATGGATTCATTGTTTAGACCGTTTTTATTCAAAGTATTGTATTTAGGCCCATATCGTGAATATTCCAGTACATTAGCAATATGTCATGCATTATGTCTTTTAATGAGCATCCCAAACTCTGTTATACCCTGTATGCTTTTTTAGCCAATCCTTTATGGTTGCATAGGCAGTCCCTGATGATTCTTTACTGGTAAAACTCACATGTGAAATACATAAACATTACTTCTTGTCAAGTATTCATTCACCTCTGAACTGCTGAGTTTATATAGCTCTGTCACCCAGACTCTCAGATAGCTTATGGAGATTAATCATACCATAATTCTATTCACTCATAGGTCAGTTACCTAAGTGCCTCATTTAAATGTGCAATGCCATGGCCAGCATTTTTGTAGTTTGTCCAACCACAAGCTACTAGTCTGCCTAGTTTTGTGTGGCGTTTTGTTTTGTTCCATTTTTGCCTCATCTTTTAATTAAAATTTTTTTTTCTCAGCTACAAAAATAAAAGACTAGGGAAAGGAGCCACTTTCTCACAGCTCTGTATCCTCTGGATTCGGCAATTGAAAATGCTTTCTAACTGGGAGAATCCACACGTAGAACACCTGGGAACTCAGCAGCAGTTGTGGTTTTCCTGCACACAGAATCAAACCAGTCAGCACTCTAACATGGGTGGGAATAGAGTCATGAGCCCCCACCCATGTCCGAGGGGCTGTGGACAGTTGGTGGCTCCTGGGGGAGGGAGGGCCTGGTTTCCCTAAGGATGTGGCTCCTGGAAGGTGGATCAACTCAGTGAGTAACCCCACATCCATGAGCCTACAAGTAGCATAAATTAAAGTGATGGGTTATTTTTTTTTTTTTTTTAAAGAGGCAGTGAGGTGAGGATGGGTCAGGGAGAAGGTAAGGGGAAGAGTTGGGAGTGGATATGATCAAAGTACATTGCACAAAATTCTGAAAAAATTAATAAAAATATTTTAAATAAAAATAATAACAATACCTTTTAATATGTAAACCAGATAGAGATTGAAAAGATGTCTGCTGTCAAGTGTAAGGACCTGAGTTCAGATCCCCAGAATACACATAAAAACCTGAGTGTGGTCACTGACTTCTGTGTAAGTCTAATGCTGGAGGTAAGGGTGGGATGGCAAAGAGAGGCAGAGACAGATCCTGGGGCCTCACTGGCAAGCTAGTATCAGCTTCAGTGAAGGGGACTTAAAAAATAAGGTGAACGGAGAGTAATCGAGGACGATACTCAATATTGACCCCTGGTCTCCAGACACATGCACACAAACGTAAGTGTGCACAGGTACATGCATGTGCGCGCGCACACACACACACACACACACAGAGCGAGAGAGAGAGAGAGAGAGAGAGAGAGAGAGAGAGAGACATATGTAAGGAGGAATAGATTTGATGGGAAAACTTCTGTGATATGTAGAATAAGCTCTAATGATCATGTTTTCAGAACTCAGAACATTCTCTAAGCCTTAGTACAATGACATATGCTTGCCTGTCCCCTCAGAATTGGGTCTTGTGAGCTGCCATGCAGGACATGCCGTTGAGCTATCTGAGGAACATTTCAAATGCATACGTTGTGAACTGTACCCTTCCAAGTCACTGGAGCTAGGGACTGCCCTGCCCCCTTGGTCTTTCTCTTTCTGTTTACATGGAGGAAAACATGGTACTTTCTGATGACACCCTAATAAAGCATTTTTTCTTCTCATCATCCCTAGCTAAGCTTTAAATGGAAAGCCATATTTGATTTCGTAATTCAGCTAATTGCCTTTGTATGTTGGCAACATCGTTTTTCCATCTAATTTGATATTCTGTGGCAAGCTGAAGAGACTGTAGAACTAATAAAATGAGGGTCTTTTCTATTAGATGTTGTTACTAACCGGATGGATCTTGTTTTGGGTTGCTCGTCAGCTGTGGCAGGTAGGAAGCAGGAGTGGAATTCTGAGCCCTGCCCAGAAGTTTGGGCCTATCATAGTCCTTCAGAAGAGGGCTTAGGGTTGACTTTAGAGCCACATAGGCAGGCATGGATTTAAGTCTTCATCTTGTCTTTGGAGTCTTCATTTATGAAACATAAGAATTTATTGCTTTTACTGACACATAGTATTTGTATATATTATTGATGCAGTATAAGAATTCAATACATGTGTACAATGTGCGACAATGATATCAGTGACTAGCATTTCTTTTGGTGGGGGGAATGGAGACAGGGTTTCTCTGTGTAGCTCTGGCTGTCCTGGAACTTGCACTGTAGACCAGGCTGACCTTGAACTCAGAGATTTGTCTGCCTCTTCCTCCTGAGTGCTGGGATTAAAAGTGTGCACTACCACTGCCCCGCTTGCATGCATTTCTAATGCCTAGGTATTTATTGTTCCTATGCAATATCAAGACTTATTTTTTAATTTTTAAAAACTGTGTGTGTGTGTGTGTGTGTGTGTGTGTGTGTGTGTGTACATTTGAGAGTGGGTGCCAGTAGAGTTACAGGAAGTTGTAAGCTGCCTGACACAGACAAGAGAACCAAGCTCAGGTCTTTTTCAATAATAGTACTGTCTCTTAATCGATGAGCCATCTCTCCAGCCCTTTGAGACTTTCTATAAAACTATAGCACTAAAGATAGTGTGATATTAGAGGAAGAATATGGGACAGAATAGAATCCAGAAGCAGATGCCACAAACACAGCCAACAGAGTGTAATTACAAAAGCAATTCAATGGAGAAAAGATGGAATCTCATCAGGTTCTGATTAAAACAGACTTCCATTTGTCCTTAAACTAAAAGCAAAACTTCAGCTTCTGTTTCCCACCTTGTAGAAACTAAGAATAGAGATGGAGTTGCAAAATTATCCGTAAGTCAGGAGCTTCTCAGAGTGGAAAAGAAAAAAGAATTGGGTTTACCTTATAAGTTCTGAAAATAGAAATACATGTAAAATAATACCAGGAGGTCTGATGCAACTCTATTGGTGTTAATAAAAAAAAAAAAATGGCTACTTCAAAGACTGGGACTTTGCTACTCAGACCTAGTCATCGACACACTCTTTACTGGAAAGTAGAGATTTAAAGTCTTTGGCAGATTTGAATCTCTGGTTGTAGAATTTAAAAACGATCTAAATATACCAAGGCTTTCTGAAACAGCCTGACTGGATCATCTTGTTCCTTCAAGACTGCCACAGAAGGGTCCTGAAAATGGTGTCAGTGTGTTCCTTTTGCTGTTTGCAGCTTCATTGTCACTCATGAATATATCAAAAGATAATTTCTTAAGGGAACACTTAGAGCCTTGGAGAAGTCAGACAAGTAATCAGAAGCAAGACAGGGAGTCTGCCTTTCCTCTTCCCTGGGTGTGTTTTATTTGGGTTATATAGAGAGAGTGTGTGGGACAGGCCTCATGGGGAACTACAGCCTATGTGTAAACATAAAATAGTAAAATAAAACAGGAACATGCAAGCCCACGCTCCTTTCTGTCCCTGCCCTAGAGCTGTGACAGAGAGCATCAATCAGCTCATCATGTTGTGTACCCAGCAGGCCCCAGGGCAGAAGGAGTGTGACAACGCCCTGCGGGAGCTTGAGGTAAGTGCCTGGAAGGCTGCTGAGGATGGGAGAACTCTGTACCTGTGACCCTGGATCTCTTCCTCTGTTTGGTGACTGTCTCTCTTCTCTCTTTGCCTTCTGTCTCTTCTCTCCTAGGAGGCCTGGAGAAACTAGATAAATAGCATTTTGTAGTTTTTTGGGGTTTTGTTTTGTTTTGTTTTTTGGTTTTTGGTTTTTTTTGTTTTTTTTAACCAGCGTTCCTTTTCCTTCTAGGCCAACATGTATTAGTGGTGTTGAGTATAAACTGCCAATGAGTAAACTTTGACTATAAAGTATTAAAGAGATTATTCTCGGATAATTGGCAGAGATATGGAGGCTGGGGCTGGAACGGTAGCCCAGTTGGTATGGTACTTGCCACAAACAGGAGCACCTGAGTTCTAGCCCCGTGCTACACATGAAGAAATTGAGCATAGTGATGGAGAGGTGGAAACAGACCTGTCCATGAGGGTTGCTTGCCAGACATCCTGGAGATTTGATGGCGCCTGAGGAATGACACCTGAAGTTGACCTCTGGCCTCCATCCTGTTGGCATATTTTTCTTTGGGCTGCCAGTTCACAAAAAAATGGCATGGAGGCTTATTGTTAATTATGAAAGCTCAGTTGATAGCTCAGGCCTGTTTCTAAGTAACTCTTATAACTTAACCCATATCTTTTAATCTACATTCTTTTACATGGCTTGGTTAGCTTTACCCTGTCCTGCCCATGTTGCTTCCTCTACATCTCCTGGCGTCTCCACCGGTCTTCTTCCCAGCATGCTCTGTGCCTGGAAATCCTGCCTAGCTATTGACCATCCAGCCTTTTATTAAACCAATCAGAGTGACACACCTTCATGATTATTCCACAACACCATACCCATGTGCACACAGTTACTTCTGCACACATTTATTCTGCCATACACAGAGGACACACTGCAAGAGATCAAGAGGAGTATTTGCCACTCCGTAACTTAGAAGGCTTTTAGTGGTGCTTGTGGGTGCCTTTTGACTTGCACTTATGTGTGGGTTTATATTTGAAATTCTGCATGTTTCTCATAGGAAGTCCGTGGGTAAAGAACGTCAGTTGTGCCTATTCAATGTAAAGCAGCCCTTACCTATACAGATCCTATTGACTGGGCCCAGTGGTTATCTCAGCAGACACCGAGTATTTGTACCTGTTGTTCTTCCGGTTGTCTGCATGGCTAGCAAGGGTCTGACTCAGTGGAAATATTCATGGTAGCTTCTAAATGCTTGATTGAGGCCCTGATGATAGTGATAGGCAGAGTCTAAGTGAAAAGGGATTCAACCGGGCAGGACTGAAGCATTTGGAAATGACTAGGAATGGTTCTTGCATGGTGTTCTAGTATGTTCTCTGTTGCTGTGATGAATGCCATAACCAAAATCAACTTGCAGGAGGAAGAAGCTGATTTGGCTTACAGGTTACAGTTCCTCATTGAAGGAAGCCAAGGCAAGAACTCAAGGCAGGAGTCTCAGGCTCATGTCCAATACACCTTTCTTGTACAGCCCAGCCCTACCTGCCTAGTAATGGTGCCACTCACGATGGGCTGGGCCTTCCTACATCAATTAGCAATGGAGAAAATGTCCAAGAGACATGCCCACAATATAGTCTCAGGAGGCAGTTCTTCAGTTGGGGTTCCTGCTGTAATCCAGGCAAAACCTGGCCCTGCCTCTCACCCACCTGCGCATGGCAGGTGTATGTACCCTGGCCCTTTAAGAGGATAACTCCACCCTGTTTCTGGAGCTTCTCTTGTCCCAGCATGGTCCCACTGCCCTTCTCAGCCCCAAATAAACACACAGAGATACTATATTAATAATAAAAGTGTTGGCCGATGACTAGGGCTTCTTATTGGCTGGCTCTGTCTCAATTATTAACCCATTTCTATTAATTTAAATATTTCCACATGGTCTTATCTTACCAGAGTAGTGTCTGGACCTCTTACTCCTTTGTGGTCTTCATGGCAACTCTCTGGCGGGTTCCCCTGCCTACCTTTCCCAGAATTCTCCTCGCCTCCTAGCCCTGCCTATCTTCTTGCCTCTACTGGCTAAATAAAACAGTGTTTTATTCATCAACCAATAAGAGAAACATATATACAGAAGGACATCCCCCATCACCACACACTTCCACTCTCTCTTTCTTGCTGTTCCTCTGAAGAAGCAGACAAGACTTTTCCTGTCTCCCTCTTTTTCTTTCTCTCTTCCCTATCCCCGCCCCCCCCCCCGTCTTTCCTTTCTAATAAAACTGCTCATTTAAGCTCTGTCTGTCCCACTCCATGGTCACCCTTGTGAAATATTATAACAGTTCCTTCTTTCCAAGTGCATTGGGTTGACAACCAAAATGAGCCATCAAACATGGGCTGTTCTCTCCTCTAGCATGCTCATTTCACTTTAAAAATATTATGACACTAGCCTAGTTACTTTGTGCTTTAAAGGTATCCTTGGTTGCCAATTTGATGGCTTCTAACTGGATCACTCGTACTGAAAACGTTTTAGTTATCTCAGAAGAGGCTTTCCGTGAAGCAAGCTCATGCCTTGTATGGCCCTCTTTCCTGTATCTTTAAGTGGATGTGCATCAGCAGCTCCCATCATCCATGTGCACCCTTTGGAGTTCGACTGTGTTGTCATTTTGTTGACTGTGTCCCCAGAGGCTGCTGGCTCCTAGTGTGCAGTCTTTTGATGAACAGATCAAGGATCCATCCCTAGGCTGTCAGTTACTGGAAGAACTCCTTATGGGTGGTAATCTAAGTCATTGCTCTGAAAGAGCTAGTGATGATTTCTGCTGATTTGGAAAGACAGAGAAACAGTCAATGGATAGCTAAACAAGAGTAGACATTTTCTATACTGTTTAAATCAATAACAAATGAACCATCCCAGTGGGCCATCTTTGGGAATTACCTTCTTCCATGTACTTCCATTAGAAGGTCCCAGAACTGAAATATTGAGTCCTTCTTAACCACAAAGGAGTGAATGAATGGCACTTGGAAGGTAAGCTCTTCAGAGTTACCCGATGGAGAAATTCCATTAGCCAATCATGAATATATTGCTTTGCATTAACTTTGAATTTCCTTTTAAAAGGCCCTCTGCAGATAACAGGCTTCTCCCAAACTGAACTGATACTCCCACTCCTGGCAATGGTAACCTGAGGCTCCCACTGCTGTCATTGTTTTTGCTGGCAGGGAATCTGTAGTCTTGACACCCTGACCTGAGTTCTTCCTGTGACCCTGAATGAATGAGCAATCATGACCCTTGTCCATAGTCCAGCCAGGGGTAGTAATAGTTGCACTTCACAGTGCATTTTCTTCTGGGCCCCTGGCTCACTTCCTAAGTTGTGTTCTCCTTTGTAGACTGTCAAGGGGATGCTGGAAAACCCTAATGAACCTGTGAGTGACCTCTCTTACTTCGACTGCATTGAGAGTGTGATGGAAAACTCCAAGGTGAGCCTGTCTGTGTTAGTGGCTTTCCTCACTTTAGTGATAAAATATCTAACAAAAGGCAACCTAAAGAAGGAAGGATTTGTTTTGGCTTAAATTTGAAGGTACAACGTGATAAAAAGAGCATGAGGCAGTCTAGTCACACCACATCCACAACCAAGAAGCAGAGAGAGATGAATGTTGGTGTTGAGCTCAATTTCTCCTTTTTATGAAGTTCAGGACCCCAGGTCTGTGAATAATGCCACCCACATTTAGGGTGGATCTTCCCTTCTTAATTAACCCAGTCTGGAATCTCCCTCCTAGACATGCCCAGAGTCTTATTTCCTTGATGAGCCTAAATCCTGTCAAGTTGACAATTAGTATTAACCATCACACTGTCTGTGCCAAAATACAGATGTCAGCACTGCTCCTCAGTAGGGAGAAATTGAGAAAGGCTTTGAGTGCACTTCCCTCACCCCTGGGTGACCCAATAAGGGGAAACCTTTCATGCACCACCTTGCTCAAGTGTCCTTCAACACTCAAGGTATCGTAGAACCATGTAGAAAGCTTGGGAAACACCAGTTGCCAGCCCCCAACCCTAAGACTTGAGCTCTATGCATTTCTGGGGGATTCCCCGTCCTGTCTCTGTGGTCTAGGAACCCTTCTTTGATAACCTCTGCTCATATCATATCACAGATGGGTCTCACTGTGAAACCAGTCATGTGTTGTCTCTACTGGAGGCTAAGCTGCTCTGGAAAGTCCTCCTGGCACCTTGGCTTCCATGAAAGGTCCCTTGTTCATATTTTGTTCTATGCAGTTATAGCATACATTTTTGAGGGGAGTAAACATTAGGGATTTTGAGTAGTTGGAAAGAAAAGTTTGGAAAATCTACTGTGGCTTATCAGCCTTTCTTCTTCTTTCCTCAGTAAGATCTGATTCCTTATTACTTAGCTGGGTGATGGTGGCAATTAAGAAAAAGCAATGGTAAAAGCCCTTTGAGAAGCAGTAATGGAAGTGAATACCTAAGAACCAGAAAGTGACAGTGAAGCACTAGAGAGACAGTTGGGGGTTGAACTTTTGCCTCCTGACCTTGGTTCTGGGACCCATGCATGCTGGGTTTCCGTCACGTCCATCTTGGCAAACCATCTGTATTGATGATGTCGTGAGGGCTCCATTTGTGTTGGACTAAGACAAGAGTGTCCTCTGTTCAGCAACTTTCATGGAATAAATGTCTATCTAAACAAGGGTGCATATGATTTAAATTCAGAAGGTTTTTTTTTTTTTTCCTTGAGACGGGGCCTCAAGTAGCTCAAGTTGGCCTTGAACATGCTGTATATAGGATGACCTTGAGCTTCTGATTCCCCTGCCCTCATCTTCTAACTGCTGGGATTGCAGGCAGGTGCCACCACAGCTGGTTCCTTTGTGGTGGCTTATTTAATCCAAGACTTCATGCATGTTAGGCAAACACTCTACCAACTGAGCTACAGTCCCAGCCCAAGAAGGGCTGCTTCTGGGTTAGGAAAGAGGGTGAAATACTAGACTTACAAGCACTCCCTAGGTGCTTTGCTCTGCACATCTTTATGTAAACTTGATTATTCTGTATATAAGAAATTATACTAATTTATTTTGTTTCCTCTCCAAAGTGGCTTATTGTCTCAGGAAGAACCCTGTATCACATTTGAGACTTACAATGCCATCTCTCACCCAAGGGTGAACACTTTCTACTCCATCATCTATGGTCCTAGAGAGCACATACTCTCCTCCGGGCACATGCCAAAGCCCACAGAGGAAAGGACACCAGGTTTGGGATAGATGCTCTCCTGTGCTTATGTGACCCTCTATATGATCCTTAGAGGACATGTGACCTCCCTGGGTTGCACACTGACTGTGAAAATCCTTATCAGCCATTATGAGACCAAAGAAAGAATGCACCAGTGCTATTCAAAACAAGTCTAACTACTTAAAATATTTAGGAAATAACATGAATACAGTTCTATGTAAATTTCCAGTTGATAAATTAATCATATAAGGAACAGTATGTCTTCTACTTTCTGGCTAGAACTTTAAGTCGAGCTCCCTGAGTGTGATTTTTATGCTCTTAGAAGTAAGTAGTTCTCAGATTGGGCCATGTGCCCATGAAGAGGCTTTGTATACATTCTACCTGACCATTTGTGTGTATTCATTGTGCCTCCTGGAGATACTGATAACCTTTGGATGCAAGGTTTATTCTTTTATTGTTTATTTATCTTCATCGAACAAAAATGGCATAATACTCTTGAATCTTTCTTGGGCACAGTAAAGGCAAAGGTGACAAATGTTTTAAATTAAGTAGCCTTGAGTATCAAAGGTACAGTGTAACCTCCTGAAGCCTTGGGATAGAATAAAAGCTCAATGACTGGTTGTTGTTTTACAGGTTCTGGGCGAGTCAATGGCAGGGATTTCACAGAATGCCAAGACTGGGGACCTCCCTGCCTTTGGGGAATGTGTGGGGATTGCATCCAAGGCTCTCTGTGGGCTGACAGAGGCAGCGGCCCAGGTGAGAGTCAGCCTTCTGTCCATCCCTCCTTTCCAGCTTGTGCCCTAGGGCACAGCACAGACCCCGTAGGGAGACCTGCTCCAGCTCCTCCAAGCACTTATATAGGAACCATGGGAAAGCCGATGGCTTCTGGCTAAGAGGGTCATATTGTAGAATACTGGCCAGTGCTTCCATGCTGGATTGGGGAGGACAGGTACAGCATACAGGAGTCAGGGGCAGCTTTTAAAGCCAGTGTTCTGGGTCCTAAGTAAATTGTTCCATGGAGAAGAGTAACTGCTAAATAATTAAATTGTCCTGAGTCTTTAGAATTGCCACATACTTTTGAATTAAAGGAAGAAAAAACAACAACAAAAATGAGACCTACCATGAAGAGCTGCCTTCCCTTGGCTGACCTGTGTTCCTTCTCAATCATGATTCAGTCTATGTAATGGATACTTCAGAGATACCAGTGTTTAGCTTGAAGGGTTTATCGTTGATGGTTAACTTGAACTTGGGAGATTTTACTTAAAAATAAGCATCCCTAGTTGGAAGAGAATATCCTCAGCCTTCACCCTTAACCCTCCAACCACACTAACTCATCTTCTGTTAGTTACTTGCTAGCACAGCCAAAGGAAACCTAAAGAAACAGCTTTTCTGGAGTGTCCTGTTGGGGACCAAATGCTACCTTGTTGCTTTCTGGGTTTTGATTTGTTTGTTTATTTTGTTTCCTTTTGCTTTCTGAGTCTTCTCATTCTCTCACTAAATTGCCTAAGCCAAGACTCTAACAGCTATTGGAGATAGAGACCTAAACAAGGACACATTGAGCTGTGTTAGGAAATGTTTGGGTAGCAAAGGCCTAAGATGGACTGACTCAGAAGCTCCCTGTGTCAGTCTGCACCAGCTTTCTTCTGGCTACAAGCCAGAGTCAGCTTCACTCCAAAGGCAGGTATCCTCTTGGTCAGATGATGGCCTCCAGAGCTGTGCAGGCTACATCCGTCCATGCCCATGCCCCACAGAAGGGTGTCTCAAAGGCTTTCTCTTAAGAACAAGGAGGCTTTGTTTCCTGGTGCCTGCAGCAAACTCCTGATGCTATGTCAAACTGGCATAGGCTTGTCTGTCACCATGCCCTCATTGGTGAGAGGAATGGGCTTATTTTGTGAAGTTTGTGCTAAGGAGCACCTGAGCTTGCCAGCTGTACGTGTACTGAGGACCATTGTGTACACTGAAGACCATTGTCTCCCAGGGGTTCATGGAAGGCTGTGGAGCCTGAGGTGTGCTTTTGCTTTTCCTTTTCCAGGCTGCGTACCTGGTTGGTATCTCTGATCCAAACAGCCAGGCAGGCCACCAAGGCCTGGTGGACCCCATCCAGTTTGCCAGGGCTAACCAGGCGATCCAGATGGCATGCCAGAACCTGGTGGACCCTGGCAGCAGCCCATCACAGGTAACCAGGGAAGGATGATAGGGTATATGATCATTAGGCTTCTGTGGGTGGGTGGTGGGAGATGGACAAACAAGCAGAGAATCCTGTGCTTTCAGAACTTGCAAACCCAGATGACTACAGCTATGTAGATAATGACTGTCCTTGCTTCATTTCTATTACTGTAATGAAATGCCCCAACAAAAGGCAACTTAGAGGAGAAAACAGCCATTTATCTTACAATTCCAGGTTTCAAATCATCATGGTAGGGAAGTCAAGGCAGGACATTCCAACTGCAAGTTATGTCACAACTCACTGAAGAGCAAAGGGAGAACATGCATGCCTCTGCTCAGCCTGCTTTCTCTGATCTTACCCAGTTCAGGGCCTGACCCCAGGGAATGATGCCTCCCATTTCCAGGCATCGACTAAGGCCATTAAGACAGTCCCCACAGGCATGCCCATTGAGACTCTTCCCCGGGTGATTATAGGTTATATCAGGTTGACAAATGCACTAGCCATCACAATGACCAGGAAAGTATAGCAAATGTGGTAAAGGCAGAAATATGCAAATGTTTACATCTAGGGTTCTGGGATGCAGCAGAGTGAAGCAACAGAATTAATGAGTTGTTTCACAGCTGTTTATTGACAGTTTGTTCTCTACTCAGCACTAAGAAGTCTGTATAAGTGAAACCTGACGTTTGCCCCCTTTGGTCCTTACTCCATTGGGCATTTCAACTGGGATGTGATGACAAGCTATGAGATTTTCTAGTTTCTGTTGCTGTGATAAAACACTCCAAAGTAAAACAACTTGGGGGCAGAAAGCGTTTATTTCAGCCTCCATTTCCAGGTCACAGTCCATCATAGAGGGAATGTCATGGCAGAAACTCAAGTAGAAACCATGGAGAAATGCTGTTTACTGCCTCACTCACTGGCTTGTGCTCAACTTGCTTTCTTATGTAGTCCAGGCCTACCTGCCTAGAGACAGTGCTGCTCACTGATTGACTGGGCCCTCACACACCAATTCTCAATCAAGACACTCTACCAAAGACATGGCCACGGGCCAGTCTGGTTGAGGAGGTTCTTCAGTTGAGGTCCGCTTTCCCTAGATGGCTCTTGGTTGTGTCAGGTTAGCAATAAAAACTAAGCAGGACAGGAATGCATCAGGGTAAGTGTGACAAGTTTTCTCAGATGGCTTCAGAGAGGATGGCACTGAGTCAAGCTCAGAATCCACAACACAGAAAGGTGCCAAAGAAACATTTCAGGAGCAGATAGTGTGTGTCACTTACCATGGTGCTTCTGGTGTCACGGAGATCTGGGTTAAGTGGGAAAGCAGTATGTACTGAAAAGAAAGAGGACTGTGTGCTATGGGCTATTTGTGAATGGTGTGCCCACTATGAACTTAGGCCAGCATTCTTAAGGCAGTCCCAAAATCCAAGAAGACAGTACCTGGGCTTACAGACCAGAGTGTATATTCAAATGCACCTGAGCCCTTGCCTATCTAGCCTCCACCAAGGGAAGTCTTTGGCTTCAAGTGAGTACCTGAGTTGAGGATGGGGAGTTAATAGATGGCTCACAGACTCCTAGTCACTACCTATAGCTCCCTTGAGGGGGAAAAGGGAGTGGTACATCTCAGTGCTTATTGTACCCATCTCAACCTGTGTTCTCCAAGGAGTTGGCCACTAGCAAAATGTAGCTATTAATCACTAGAAAAATAGCTAGCTCAAGTAGTGATGGCCTGTAAGAATCTGATGCATGCCAGATTTCAAAGACTTGGCATGAACAAAACCTTCTAATATCTTATCACTGTAAATTGATTATGATGAACTATTTTGGATACATTGAATTAAATAAACTATATTACCTGAGTTAATTTCTCTTGTTTTTCTACTCATTTTAATGTGCCTACTGGAAAACTTTAAATCAGGTGTCTTAGGACTTGGCCTGGAGCCTGGACTCTGGGGATTCAAAAAACTAGCTGACCATATCCCCTTTAAGACTGGGGCCCAGCACACTCCTGCTACAGCACCTCCTTCCCTTTTCTATTTTCATTCTCTCTTGCTTCATGTTCTTGCTCTTTCCTTCCTTGGGTGACTTTAGGGACAGCGGAGCTAGACAAACGATATTACCCAGATTCTAGACATGTGAGTGGCAGAGAAACCCAAACTTCTCTGCACTGAAGTGTGTGGTGCCCACCCCCAACCTAGCTCCATGCTTTGTAGGTTCTGTCAGCTGCTACCATCGTTGCCAAGCACACCTCAGCTTTATGCAACGCCTGCCGTATCGCCTCATCCAAGACAGCCAACCCTGTTGCCAAGAGGCACTTTGTCCAGTCAGCCAAGGAGGTTGCCAACAGCACTGCCAATCTGGTGAAGACCATCAAGGTAGGTCATTGTATTGCAGGTCTAGTTGATCACTGTACAGAACTGAGAGGGGAGTGGGGTTGAAGCTTTATCTCCTCAGATACACTAGTGGTAAGGTGAATCCTTGAAGTCATGGGTGGGAGGGGTTGCTTACTAATCAGGAGTTATTCACCAGGAAAGCCCAACCAACTACATCTCCACTCTCCTCCAAGGTGGTAGGAGAGAGCCACTCCCAATTCAGTATCTAGGAGCTTAGGGCCTGAAATTAGGGGCCTCTCTTAGTGCTGTGTGTGGGTACAGCTTGTGTGTACTTAAACTGTTTACTTGGTGTGATTTTGAGTGGTCAGGTAGAGGGTTGTGCCATTGTTGCTGGAGACTTTAGAACCAAAAGATGATCTCGGGAGGGGAAAGAAAATGGGAAATTATAAAACAACTGTATTCTTAAAAAATCACTTTGGAGCTGCAGAGATGGCCCAATGGGTAAAGTGCTTGCCATACAGACATGAGGACCTGTGTTCAGATCTCCACCACCCATGTCAAAGCCTAACACATTAGTGCACGTCTATACTCCCAGCACTCCCTTCTACAGCAAGATGGGAAGCAGAGGCAAAATTCCTTGGAAGTTCATGGACCAGCTAGCCTGGTTGGTGTGCGTACTAGCAAAGCAACAAACAAGATTGTGTCTCAAGAAATAGCTTAGTTCAGTGAAGTAACACCGTCCTCACCTCCATGTGTGTACACACCTAGAACCGTCCTCACCTCCACGTGTGCGCACACCTAGAACCCTCCTCACCTCCACATGTGTGCACACCTAGAACCATCCTCACCTCCACATGTGTGCACACCTAGAACCATCCTCACCTCCACATGTGTGCACACACCTAGAACCGTCCTCACCTCCACATGTGTGCACACCTAGAACCATCCTCACCTCCACATGTGTGCACACCTAGAACCATCCTCACCTCCACATGTGTGCACACCTAGAACCGTCCTCACCTCCACGTGTGTGCACACCTAGAACCGTCCTCACCTCCACATGTGCGCACTGTGGTATATTCATGCCCTCACCGATATATACTAACATACATATACATACATAATTACTTAAATCTCCCTTATGACATTCATGTTGTTTATAAATGTTTAGTTTTTTTTTTCCTTGGATCATCAACTTTTTTTTAAGATAGAGCATTCTGTCTTCCTAAAGACAATCACGTTGTGTGAAAGCTGAGTAGCTGAGGTGTTGGGAGGCAGGGCTCCTTTGCAGTGAGGAAATGGAGTTGGTCAGGCAGTGATCTTTACATGGGTCCTTTAAGCCAAGGCTGTGCACATATCAGGCAGCTGACCTTGTGGGCAAACAGCCAGAACCTGGACAGCAAACCACACACACAGCCCAGTATCATTTCAGGCCCCTCCCCCAGCCTTCAAAGGAACATTGTTATGAGCACATGATACCAGTTCTCTGGGAACCTTGCAGCGCTGAAGGGAAAGGGACTATTTCTTTGTTGGTTTGTTTATGATTTGGGTTGGTGCTGGTGATCAAACCAGTGGCTTTGTGCATGCTGGGTAAATGAAATGAGGACATGACCACTCCGAGGTATGCTTGAGGGCACAGTTTTTATTATAGATATGAAGGAGAGTACAGCCAGAGGCATCTGAAGAGTCCAGACTGAACAGGGGTCATGGGAGGAAGAGAGGAGAAAGAGAGAAGAGGAGAAGGAAAGAGAACAGTCAGACCAAGAGAGGAGCCAAGGATCAAGAAAAGAACTGAGAAAAAGCATGGCTGGATTTGGCAGGGTGATATAGGAAAGAGAAGCTAGGGGGAAGAGATGGGAACCCTCTGGGCTACAAGGCTAGGGAGGTTTAGGGCACAGGGCTGTGGTGAGAAGAGCTGAGAGGTGCCACAGGTACTGAGTGAGCCTGAAAGTCTTTGTGCCTTTTGGTATGTTGATGGCCACCACAGTTAGCCGTTTGTTCCAGGTTTCTTTGGGACCTGACACTAGACACTTGCTCTACCACTGGATAGCACACCCAGCCTTACTTCAGTAAGAGGGTCTACAACCTTGACCTCATTTTTTTTTTTGCTGCAAAAATTGCTCTGTGATTCCATGGAGAAGCCAATCAGGGACTGAGCCTTGCAGAGGCCAAAGGAAAGAGCATCCGTCCAGCCTGCAGCAGCTGGAAGCTGGCTGGTGAGAGCTGGGCCAGTTTGCCCAGTCAGCAGCTCCATAGCTGTTTCAACAAAGAGTCATTTTAAAAACAAACAAAAGCCCCATGTGTTTGAAGGCAACAAGAAACTAGATGGAAAACGAATAAACAAATTAAATTCAGTGTCCTGGTGCTCTGGGATCCTTGTGGCAGCTCATCTCCCTTGCCATCATAGTTCAAGACATTAGCAATCACCAAGCTTATGTTTTTAAGTGTGTATTTTATGTTTCGTATCTATCACTCATTGCATCCACACAGATAGACTATGTTTATCATGCCCATTTTGCTAATGGGGACCTAGGACACAAAGAGGTTAAATAACTGCCTAGGTAAACCAGACAGTAAATGACAGATGAGAATTCAAGCTCAGGCCCCAGAGCCCCTGTTCTCAGTTCTGGCATGTTGTTGGACTCTTTGGAACACAGGCAATGAACTCATCCCTCCTGCCTAGGGAAAAGGCCCTGGCTGTGTTTACAGAGTATAAGTTTGGGGGCTGGGGGTGGAAAGGACAATGTAGTTAAAAGCTGTGATGTCATTGTTGCTTGCTGCATAATTAACTTTTCTTAGTTAAAAGTTTGGGGGAGGGGAGACTTTAGAAAAGAAACTCCTGCAGCCTCTCTCCTGCAGCTTCTCTCTCTCCCTCCTGCTGCCTCTCTTTTCTCTTTCTCTCCTGCAGCCTCTCTCTCCTGCTGCCTCCTTGGTTTTAAATTCTGTCCTGTCTGTTAAGATTGAATCTTCTTTCACATTCTTCTCACAGTGTCAACCCCTCTGCAATTCCCTGCAGCAAATAAGCTCTTGTGATGGTCCAAAAGATAGGCCTGTGGGAAGCATCAGAGGAGGAGAGCTGTGATTATAATGTGGGGCACATAAAGTCTGTCTCCCGTGAGTGTCGCTGCAAACCGGCGTCAATATAAGGGGAACAGAAATGAACCTATTGCCCCAGCTTGTCAAAGTGTGTCCAGAGTTTTCAATTCCCACTGTGTGGCAGGGTTTGCTGGCCAGTCTGAGCATTGCCTTTCATTCACTAATAAGAAAATGGCAGAGGTCACTTCCTTGGTGCCCCCTGCTCTGTACTGAATGGATTTCCTATTCAAAGGAGTGGTGAGGTATCCTTCGAAACAGAAAAACAAGTGGATCCTTAATTTCCTGAATAGTCCAGATAACAGTGTCACAGCTGCATTTTTTGCTCTTAGGCCCCTTAGTGTGTGTTTGATTTGCACCAGGCTGTGCCCAGACGTAAGCCCAGCTGCCACACCCTTCCAGCCATGAACAAGGGAGCAAACGACATGCCACTGGAACCTTAGATCTCTACTGATGGCATTCCTTAAACTGCCCAAGCATAGCCCAGCAAGAACCCACTTCCGCCTGTCTCCTGCAAGGGAGGGCTCTCAATGCCAGGGGAGTTACAAGGACACTGGCTGAGTTTCTCTCTCCATTATGCTCATTACCTAGCCTTGAATCAGATGTGTGGAATGGAATGTTATTTTAAATGTGCAGCCACTCAGGTTTGAGTGCCAAGTGGAAATTATGCAACCCCAGCTTTTGTTTTGCTGAGAAGTTGAAGTTTGGCCTTGTTGTTACCGCAGAGTGAGTGCTCAGATTTTTGCAATTAGGCACTTCCAGTGAGTGCTGCAGACACCCAATCCAGCTCTCTCTAATTGAATTTGATTTGGCTGTAAGTATATTTTCTTGATCATCCTTACATATGGACTGATAGAATTCTTCAGATTGGGGTGGGGGACCCTCTAGGACATCTTAGGCCTTGCTGCCTTTGTTGGAAAGAAGAAAGTTGGAGTCTCAGGTGATGGTTGGAGACATGACCAAGTGGTAGAGGAGACTGAGTAATTCCTGTCATTTTTCCAGGTGGTAATTTTATTGGGAAAAGCAGGTGGGTGTTCAGTGATCTTTAAGGCCCTTTCTAACCCCATAAGTCCATGAATGCTTTCCCCACCTGCCTGGGAGCTTAGACTGCAGATATAAGGAGTAGCGGGCTCAGAGGTATGGCATGCTCTTTTCCGCATGGTTTTAAGTATGCAACCAAGTGACTTTACCTCTTTGATGGAATATGGAATAGGCACAGGGAAGCATTTGTGGCTGCTCAGCACTTCACTGTGGGGCTGACTTGAGTGTCCACTTTACTTAGGTTGGCTCAGTCATACCCAGTAGAAGCAAAATTTAGAAATGAAATATAGCTTTACAGATTATCCTTTCTAATGCCAAATGCCTCCTTTGAGGAAATAGCTTCTCCTGCCCACCGAGCGCGTGCGTGCATGGGTGCGTGCGTGCGTTTGTGCATGCGTGTGTGTGTGTGTGTGTGTGTGTGTGTGTGTGTGTGTGTGTGTGTGTGTGTGCTTGTGTTGAGACAGGGTTTCTCTGTGTAGCTTTAGCTGTCCTGGAACTCACTCTGTAGACAAGGGTGGCCTTAAACTCACAGAGATCCCCCTGTCTCTGCCTCCCAAGTGCTGGGATTAAAGGTGTGCACCACCACCACCACCACTCAGCAGCTTTTCCCATTTGAAAGCCAAAGCAGGTGGGTGATGTAGGTTTCTTCCATAGCCCATGTTATTTAGTGCCCTGTCCTTATGAATAGCAATGGGCTCCATGAGATGTGGTTTTCAGAATCTGTGCTGAGCCAAAGGAAAAAAATCCTCTTGGCATCCATTTGTCCATGTTTTGAGGCTGTACCACTGACAACGGTTTCTTCAGATTTATCTCGAGGAGTCATCTTTTTGGTTTGTGTAAGTTTAAATGAGGGTTGATGACCTGGCCAGATGTTCTCCATCCTTGCAGACAGAGAAGGAGGTAGGAAAGGAGGCAGTCTGAGTTTGGAAAGGTGAGAGGAAGAAAGGAAACCACCCAGGCAATGTGACTTATGGAACTGGTACCCAGGCTCCTTGGACTCCAAAGTTCACTGTGACCATTCTCCTGCTTCACTCATTTTCTTGTCCTGGGACCATTTATATCAGGCACCTGCTGGGTGGCATCCACTATGTGCCCCCCCAATAATCCCAGCTTGCTCTGAGGCTTGGCAGCACCCAACCTCAAGGAGGCTATAATGTAAATAGCACAGTGTGGTCAGCACTCTGAGGCAACCCTTGTCTATATGGCCAGAGCCAGAAATGTGGATTTAACATTTAGTGAGTACAGGAGACCAATTAGAGGTGGGGGCATGCATGTAAGCAAGAAGTAACAGGCATTTGTTAAGGTCTCCAGTGGGCCTAGAAGAATGGCTGAATCCAAGAGGTTAGAGTAGGGTCAGGGTCTGTTGGGTGGGGGAAGCCAGGCAAGCCAGGCACCATAATTACTGAGGATGGTAAGTGAGCAGGCTCATGGGAATGCCTCTGAAAATATTAGCATTGTGACTATGTAATTATTATCCCAAGCTGCCAAGGCCTGGCTGGATTGCCACTGTTATTCAGAAGTAGCCTTCAGATCTACAGTACCTGCCTCCTCTTGCCTTACTGAGTACCAGCTCACTCCCACCTCAGAGCCAGCTGCTCAGATAATGCCAGTGCCTCTGGTTTGTTTGTTCACTAATTGTCTAAGTAGGCTTTTATATATTGCTCATAAGGATTAAATTAAAAGTTTAATTGGTCATTTAACAAGGAAATTTGCATTCTTCTGCAGGCATAGCTGTCTTCTCCATGCAGCCTTCTGCTAGAAGACAGGGCAGTGTTGCTGCTTCATGGGCCGTTTTTGTTCTTGAAGAGGTGGAGCCAGGGCTCAGAGAACCTTGACCTCAAGTGTTAACCTTTTGTAAAACAGCTTGGCATGTATTCCAGGCCACATCCTGGATCCTCACCAAGCTACCCATGAATCCACAATGTGACTAATCACTCGGCCCTCTTGTGTTGTCTGCTGCTAATTAAATAAAGAGGAGGCATGAAATGAATAGAGGAGAAACACATCATGTCGAGAGCACAATAAATTGTCTCAAGCTAAACATACTGAGTAACAATAGCTAGACTGAGAAATAGAACCTAACCAGCACCCGGAAGTCATCTCTGCCCTGACTATGTGTCACCTAACATCTAACTCCCCAGTTAGTTTTTCCTGGTTTTGTACTTTCATGAATGGAATTGTGTAATAAGTATCCTTTTGTGTATGATCTCTTTAGATAAACCTGTGTGTGTGTGTGTGTGTGTGTGTGTGTGTGTGTGTGTTAGGAATTACCCATTTGGTTGGGTAGGTCTAGTCTATTTCTTTGCATTGGATTCTCTTGTCTTCATTTCAAGAAGTTGGTCTTTCAGGGATAGCCTTAGATGTGGAACTTAGGAAAGTTGGAAGTGTGAGGGACTGGAGATTTAGCTCAGGAGTAGACTCTGGTTTTCATTCCCAGAAACAAAAAAGGAAGGGAGAAAAGAAAGGCAGACCGTTCAGAAGTGTCACACCATGTAAAAGAGCTTTGTCATTTATGAGGGATTGGACTTAGTGGAGAGAATTGCAAGAGGATCCCATCTCAGAAGTGGGAGAGAAAGTGGGTTGGCAGCCGGGTGTGATAGCATGGCTGGAGGGAGTGAAGAGTGAGCTGGTTGACAGCAAGAATGCTGTCCTGTGAGCTGCACCTAGATCATTTCTTAGGATGGCTACCTGGGCCTCTCTTGTTGGCAGCAGGGGTCAATTGCTTCAATTGCTTCTTACCTGTTGAGGAGTAGCATTCCCATTGAACTGTCCTCCCTTGCTGGGAGGTGACTGCTGTGGCTTAGGAATGACACATGTTTCTCAGTGGGATGGAATCTCTATTTCTTTCCCATTAGGCCCTGGATGGGGATTTCTCTGAAGACAACCGCAATAAGTGTCGTATTGCTACCACACCCCTGATCGAAGCTGTGGAGAACCTGACAGCATTTGCATCAAACCCTGAGTTTGTCAGCATTCCTGCTCAGATCAGCTCTGAGGTACGGGTGACTGTGGCAATCTTAACTTTAGAGTCATTAGCCATATTCTGCATGAAGTAGAATGAGCATGGATAGGTAAAGTTCCAAATGACTTTGTGTCAGCACCCTGTGGACTATTGTTAAGTAATACTATAGTAACTGTTATTTTTGCAGCATTAAGTGGTCTGTTAAGTACACAGTACATTGCTATACTGCATAGCTGGTGCTTCATGCACAGTTGCTAAGCTCAGTGACTGTCTATCTTTAAGAAATAATAACTTGACATTGAGAATTATCTCTGTGTCTGGGAATCAGGCCGATTTTTTCATAAAGTGTGTCATACTCAAAAATTTTATTTAAGAAAAGAAATATATATTATTTAAGAAACAAGCCTGGACCCACGTCACCCCAATCTAGACTCTTTCTGTTAGCTAGCTTCCCTCGGCAGGGTAGAAGTACTGACTTAAAGTCTAAGACTTTCTAGGGCCCAACTTACTGGTCTCTGCATACTCACCTTTGACTTCTCCATTGGTTGGTCTTAGGGTTCCCAGGCACAGGAACCAATATTGGTCTCAGCCAAGACCATGCTGGAGAGCTCATCGTACCTCATCCGCACTGCACGCTCTCTGGCCATCAATCCCAAAGATCCGCCCACCTGGTCTGTGTTGGCTGGACATTCCCACACCGTGTCCGACTCCATTAAGAGTCTCATCACATCTATCAGGTCAGTTTCTCATCTAGAGAGAGCTCCCAGCCTGTATCTGAATAGAGTAGGAGGGAATTATGCCCATCAAGTAATGTTGATCATTATTGTAATGGCTAATCTTGGTTAATGAGTTGACACAAACTAGAGTCACCTAGGAAGAGGGAACTTCAGTTGAGGAATTGTCTCCATCATATCAGCCTGCAGGTATTTCTATAGGGCATTTTTTTTTTTTTATTGATGATGGATGTAAGAGAGCCTAGCCCACTGCACTTGTGCCATTCCTGGGTAGATGGGTCTGTGCTATATAGGAAAGGTAGCTGAGCAAGCAGCATTATTCCATGGTCTCTGCTTCAGTTCATGCCTCTAAGTGCCTGTATTGAGCCACTGGCTTCCCTAAATGATGGACTGTGACCTGTAAGATAAAATAAGTTTTCTTTCCTCCCCAGGAGGTTTATCACAGTAACAGAAAAGCAAACTAAGAAAATTACAATCATCTCTTTATCATTTCCTTTCAATCCATTATAGTACTGGCCACAATAACAGCAAATCTAAGCATGTATTATAAACCAGATATTATTCCAAATATCTTACATACATTACCCTTTCTGATCATCACATTTTAAAGTAGATATTATCATTGTTTCCATTTTAACTACTGTGAAGTTTTGGGCGAGAGAACTTAAGGGATGTTCTCATGGTCACCCAAAGGCATTAGTTACAGCCCTTCTAACCATCACATTGAATTATCATCTCTTAGGGGCTTGGAGAGCTCTGCTGCTCAACTTCTTTTAGTCTTATAATAAGACAAAAGGAATATTCTACAGCCCACACTAACTCTGGGTTGTCCTGGATTAATCCTGACCTTCTTAGTTATACACAAAGGCTGAGAAAACGACATTTCTCAAGTTAACCAAAATTAATTAATAACCTACATCATGGAGTGTGTTTGTTCCTTTGTTACAGTATTTTGCTTCTTAATTGCCTCTGAAGCTCAACGCCATAATTAAGCCCTTTCTTAATGTATTGCAAAGAAAAATCTTTTAATACTTTAGCTCTTACTGCAGCCCATGAGTTTATGACCAGTAGAGCACTTAGCGTGTTTGCACTATAGATGGTGCTACACTTTTATTTCCAGTGGCTGGAGAGATGGCTCCGTGAGGGCCTGAATTTGAATACCTAGCTCCATATAAAAAGCCAGGCTCATGGATGTTTGCTTGTAGTCCTAGAGCTTGCTGGCTGCCACACTGGCCCCAGGTTCAGAGAGAGATCCTGTCTTAAGGGATTAACACAGAGAGTGATAAAGTAGAACACTTGACTTCCTCTTACAGTCTCCATGTGCTGCTGCTTGCAAGCACTTATACACAAATGGACACATACAACGCACACTTGCACACGCACACAAACACACACACACACAAACACACACACACACACACACACACACACTTTTTTTTTTTAACCTTAATGTTTAAAGTGGAGGAAGCACCCAAGTGCAAATTGTTTCCTTTACAATTACCTATTAATAGCCTGAGAGGAAGGGGAAGATTCTATTCTTCCTGCTAGAAACAGAACTATGTCAGGTACAAGTGTTAATTAAGAAATGCATGGGTGCCGGGCGTTGGTGGTGCACGCCTTTATTCCCAGCACTCAGGAGGCAGAGACAGGCGGCTCTCTGTGAGTTTCAGGTCAGCCTGGTCTACAGAGAGAGTTCCAGAACAACCTCCAAAGCAATACCCTGTCTCAGACAAAAAAAAAAAGAAAGAAAGAATAAAGGAAGAAAGAAAGGAAGAAAGGGAGAAAGGAAGAAGAAAAAAAAGAAAGAAATGCATGGGCTCCACACCAGGATTTGCGGAGCAAGTCTCAGAAATGCACTGTTTAGTGAAGGTGATCATGTAGCTGGGGACAGAGGGTCCTGGCCCACCAGTCCAAGAACATGATGTGACATGATGTTTAATTATGCCTTGTGAACTTTTGTTTGATTTGTTCTGTCCCTTTTAGGGACAAAGCCCCTGGGCAGAGGGAATGTGACTACTCCATCGATGGCATCAACCGGTGCATCAGGGACATTGAGCAGGCCTCCCTGGCAGCAGTCAGCCAGAGCCTGGCCACCAGGGATGACATCTCTGTGGAGGTAGGCTGGCACTCCGTCATCTACCTTGGAAACTCCAGAGGAAATGGGAGGAAATGTCTCTAATGCTGGAGTGTGGTGATGGACAGCCCGCCCCTGTGGAACCAACCAAGAAGTCCGGGGAGGGAGTAGGACAAGTGCTCAGAAGAGAAAGAGGGTGCTGGAAAGAGCACACCATAAAGAAGGATGTTCAGATGAGGCTGAAGTTTGCAGGAAAATGACAGTGTTGGGGAATTCTGTGTCCAAACATGGACTACTGTGCTCAGTTGCACACATTAATGGAGCAGGCCTGGGCATGCAAAGCTTGAACACTTCTCTCTGAATACATTTTGTCTTTGCACTTTTTGGGGGGCAAGTTTGGCATTAAACTGTACTGCAATTGATCCATCCAGAGGTAAAGAGTTGTGCCCTAAGTTATTCTTTATCTCATATGTGTGTGTTGTGCGGGAGGGGCTCAGTACCTATAATGAGGGCCTCTCCAGAACCTGGAGCTCACCCTTAGCTAGGCTGGTTGGCCAGTAAGTCCTCAGGATCCATCTGTCTCCACCCTGTCCCCGACTCCCTGCACCTGGGTTGTAACACTCAGGCTCTCATGCCTGCAGAGCATCTATGTTACCCCTGAGCATCAACCCAGCCTCACAGTACTGTTGCTGGTGGTCTCTCTTGAGTTGATTGTTGCCCATGCAAAGTTCACAATCCATACTTACTTCTCTACTAAGAGCCCAGCACCCAACATTCAGACGGCATTTAGTTTGCATGAATGGTATGGTTACCTTACTACCATACATTTAGGCATAATGACCTCTGTCCCTGTTCTCTGAGCAATGGACCTAGAGCTAAGCATTGCTCATTTTGCTACACACACACACACACACACACACACTTAGAGGAAATGAGGAGCAGGACTAAGCATGTGAAAAGCTAGAATTACTATTTTAAGCCTATTCTGAAAACTGAGCATACATACAGTGAACTTGAATTAAGTGTGTGTTGATGACTTGTCAGCAGAACACATCCTTTAAGTAGCCCCCAGGTCAAGAAGCCAAGATGAAACCAGGTCTGGTGGCACACATCTTTAATCCCAGCACTCAGAGGGCAGAGGAAGTTTGATCTCAGTGAGTTTGAGGGCAGCCAGGGATACTTAGACATCCCCCCCCCCAAAAAAAAACCCATGACCACTACCCCAGAAATGCCTCCCTCTCTCCATCCCTTCTGAACTACATCCTCTGCCTTAGCTCTACCAATAAGAAGAAAATGTGCCCCCTTGACATCCAAGGGCCTTCATTATACAATATTGAATTTAACAAACCACCTATCATGAAACACCAAAGGGATTCTCTGGCATTCTTGCCCATAATCACGTTAATTGTGTAAGGGTAATAAATAATTATCTAACTAAGGCCTTTGAACTCCAGGGACACTTGCCCACCCCATCTCTCTAGCTCCTTTTTGTTGGTTTGTTTTCAAGCTTGCCAGTTAAATTTTTTTCTTTCCCATCATAGTTCTGTGGCAGAGTAACAAATGCAGGAAGGATATTGTCACTTTATTAGATGACATGTGGGTGGTTCATCTCTAAGATGCCCAATGTGTTTATCTATTAACCCTGATCCAATCCAGTACAGTTCCTAAGATGATTTTGAGAAGGAGGTGGATCTTTCCTCTTCCAGTTAATCTCCAGCTTTGAATTCCTCATCCCCCACCTTACTGCCTCCCAGCATAGTCTGGCTTTCCTGCCCTGTCTCTTAACAGCCTGAATTCATTTCGTTGGAGCAGAGAGGTTAAACCATCTCAGACCTGACAAGAAATACCCCAAGAATGTCATTTCCAATATTTGCCTACAAGTCACCAAGGACAGTGAGCAGAGTCTGACTAAGTTCTGATGTAGCCCACCTGGTGTCTTCTTGGTGCACACTCAGGGAAGCCTTCAGAGAACTGAGCATGTTTTCACATCATCCTTCCCCTCCTCTTTAAGTTCTGAGAACAGCAAGACCTGGATGTTCCCTCAGTCCCTAACGAGCTGTCTCCATTTGGACCAAGTTGTCTCTCCTTCTTGGAAAGTACAGCTATTGGACATTCTCACTAATCATGCTATATAACCTACCATGAAGACACCCCAGCATCATTTGTCAGGGCTTGTGGGACTGAAGCCAGTGAGAAACACATCTCTCACAATTGCCTCATTGCTCATCTGAGGAAGGGTAGGGATCTCATTCTGGGGAGCAAGGCAAGTCAGGGAATGGAAGACCAGGGAGAATCCAGATATTCTGATTTCATTCGGGCCCCCTTGTCCTTCATAGGGGGCTTTTCAGAATGACACAGCGCCATAGGGAACTGTTGTCAAATGACTGACAATTTTCTGCCAGGCCCTGCAGGAACAGCTGACCTCGGTGGTCCAGGAAATTGGCCATCTTATTGATCCCATTGCCACAGCAGCTCGAGGAGAAGCTGCCCAGCTGGGACATAAGGTAATGTGAAAGCAGGGAATCCTGCTAAGAGAGAGATTGTATGTGTGTGTGTGTGTGTGTGTGTGTGTGTGTGTGTGTGTGGTGTGTTTGTGTGTGTGTGGGTGTGTGTGTGTGTGTAAGGAGGGAGGCAGGGTATCATTATTCTCAAAAGGCTGTGCTCTGTGGCTTCCTGTTCTTTAAATTCAGTCTCCCTCACAGTGCCCACAAGTCTGGGGTTGTCACCAACCCCACTTTACAGATGAACAAACTGAAGGACAGTATGTGAAGAAATCTGTGTCAAATTCTCAAGAGGATAACAGCAGGGACGGTCGAAATCCAAAAGACCTCAGGCTAGGAACATCATTCTTCATGGCCTGGTCCTGCTCACCTCCCTGAGGAAGCTGGACACTAGTTTAGTTAACATTTCACTTCCCCCACCACATAACAACTCTTGACTTGTTACTTCTGCATTGTTAAAGTTAATTCTGAATCAAAGGAACCTAGAGAACCAGCAGGATTCTAATGCATTCAACATTTAAGCTGTAAGTTTTGACTTCTCAGGGACCCATCACTCCCTGTATTAGCTTCTGATGCTATTTAAAAAAAAAAAAAAAGCAACCTGGGTGAATAAAGTTTATTTTGGCTTAAAGTTCCAAATAGGCAGAGTCTGTCATGACAAGGAAGGCATTATGACAACAGGAGTATGAGGCCAGCCTGGCAATCCAGGAGCAGAGAGATCATATTTCATTGGCACACAAGAAACAGACAAAGAGAACAGAAAGTGGGGCCAGGCAATGAAACCCCAAAGCCAGCCCCACTGGCATACTTCCTCTAGCAAGACTCCCATCTTCTAAAATTGGTAAAACCTTACCAAAGAGTGCCACCAACCAGGGATCAAGTGTTCAAACATAGGAACCTATGAGGGACATTTCTCATTCAAATCACCACAGTACCCAGTAGCCTTTGGTGATGAACCCAGCATCATCCATGGGAAAGGATAAGTCCTGTGCTGGTACAGGGCTGCCTGTGCTTGCTCAGTCTGGGATCTCCAGGTGTGGAGGTTCTCCACATCTGGATAGAGCAGACAGCAGGGAGACAGATCCCCCTGTGTTCTGCTTGCAGGCTTCTACCTAGTCTTCAAGTGGCTCCTTTAAGATGCACACAGAGAGGTTGGGGAGGTGTCTCAGATGAAGTTTTTGCTGTGCCAGCATGAGAATCAAAGTTCGGATCCCCAGCACCCACATAGCTAGAGGCAGTGGTACATACCTGTAACCCCAGCACAGAAGAGGCAGAGGCAGAGGCAGAAGAATCTCTGGGGCTCACAGGCCAGACATTCTAGCCAAATCTGCAAGTTCCAAGTTCAGTGATAGATTCTATCTCAGAAATTAAGATCGAGGGATAGATGGCTCAGTGAGTAAGAGTGCTCACTGTGCAAGTATGAAGACCTGAGTTCAAATCCCCAGCACCCATGTAAAAAACTGAACACTGCTATATATGGCTATAACCCCAGAGTTGTTGGGCAGAAACAGGTGGATCCTGGGAGCTTGCCTAGCCAAAATGATTGATCTGCAGATTCAACAAGAAACACTATCTCAAGGGAATAAGGCAGGAACTGATCAGGGAAGACACTAGATGTCTTCTAGCCTGCCACATGTAGATATGGTCATACAGACCCAATCATATACATGCACACACACCTCACATGCAAATAAAGTAAAGTGGAAAGCAATTAAGGAAAATACCAGATATCAGTATGTGGCCTCCACATGCACCCGAATATATGTGTGTAGACACACACGAATGCACATAAAGGCAGTGTGTCAGCAGCAGCGCTGCTCACATGTCTCTGTAAGTACTCTTATTGCTGGCCAGGAGTCCACTGTTAGTAGCGATGACTATTATTGTTCTCTTTTTGGACACAGCTACTCACACCTGGGCTTGTCCTCATAACCCCCCCAACCTTTGCTTTGTTTGTGACCCAGTGCCTGCTTGTGCGAAGTGGTCTCTCTCTGCCTATATCCCCACAACACTTACCTTTCCTCCATGTGGTGGTGAAAAGCCTTTAATGGAGCCACTGGCTAAAGATTTACATAAGATTCAATGGGAATCTTATCAATTAGTTATAACTGCACCAAAATGAGGAATTAGACTAGCCTTTGGTGCTGGTTTGTTTTATTACAGTAGGAATAGATGGAACCAAATATGAAAATATGATCCTCTAGATGCTAAATAGAAAGATGTTAATCTTCCACCCTCAGATTTCAAATATGTCACACAACAAGCGATGAACTCAAGTCTGAGTGCAACACAACTAGAATACAAACTAAAGCATGAGAGGCTGCAGTGTGAAGAGGGGAGGAGCTTAGAGCCAGGCTGTGAAGTAAGCCCTGCTCCCATCATCTCCACCCAGCTGCTTAACTTCAGTGTGCAGCCCACTCTTGTGCCTCAGTTTCTCTTTATCTGGATCGGCCTCTTAAAACTGGGGCAAGATTGACTGAGGAACTGGATGGGAAAACATTTAACAAGAGCTAAAGGCATAGGGGATGTGCCTGATAGATATTTGTGACATTTGGCTCTGGGGCACTCCAAATGTCCAGCACATATACACATAAAACGTATTGCATGTATATTACATGGTCCATTGGAAGGAAGTCTATCCTAGGGCAATGGGTGGCTGCGTTTGTTTGTTTGTTCAAGACAGGGTTTCACTGTGGCTTTTGAGCCTGTCCTGGAACTTGCTCTGTAGACCAGGCTGGCCTCCAACTCAGAGAAATCCTACTGCCTCTACCTCCCGAGTACTGGGATTAAAGGCGTGTGCCACCACCGCCCATCTTACTTAGTCTGTTTTGCTTTTGTACTTTTGGTTATAGAGTTTGGTTTGGTTTGGCTTGGTTTGGTTTTTGCATTGGTGATCATACCCAGGACCCCTCATACATTAGAAAAGTAATTTAGCACTAAGCAACATTCCCAGCCCTTTGACAAGCTTTTTTATTTTCCCAGGTTGAGCCAAACAAAGCGGTTAGACAGTGGTGAAATCATTTTGCTTTTATTCCATTCCTGAGGTTTGGTACAGTGCTTGGTGACTATGCCAGTTGGACTGTCTACTGACAAGCCTTACAGAGTCTCTTCATCTCACCCCACCTCACAACCCTCTCCCTCTTCTATTTTCCTTCTCCTTTGAATCTATTAAGATGTCTTTTATTCTTCACAATTTTTACTTACAAAACTGACAACTTATAAAATTGGGTATAAGTCTGGTATCTACCTCTAAATCCCAGAATGGGTTTCTTACCATATATGGAGAGGACATGGAGAATTCCTCGAGGGAAGTAAACCCAAGCAATAGAGTCTTAAATAGCAGGTATTTTTGAAAGCAAGCTGTAGCCAAATATGCCTTTTTCTATGAGTCATCTTATCCTGCTCCAAACCCCTTTCTCACCAAGGGGGCCCCTCTAAAAGGAGACCTGAACTTACATGATACATCTGGGATTTTTCTTTCTTGAAAGGTTACACAGCTGGCAAGCTACTTTGAGCCCTTGATCTTAGCTGCAGTCGGTGTCGCCTCGAAGATGCTGGACCATCAACAGCAGATGACAGTGCTGGACCAGACCAAGACACTCGCAGAGTCTGCCCTGCAGATGCTATATGCAGCCAAAGAAGGTGGAGGAAACCCCAAGGTATGGTTCAAGGCCTCAGGGCTGGCTTGGGATTCCAAGTCCCCCTGTGTTGTCCCCTTCCTCAAAATAATGCATACCTCCAAGTTGATTTTCTAGTCTCCAGGAGGAAGAACCCAGTGACTTTCCAAACAGGTATAGTTAAGGGTTATTCACAAGTTCTCTTTCCTTGGTAGGTTATATAGGAAAGCATTCGTGGGGCAGGAGAGCTCACGGTATGTTCATTGTAGGTATGAAGATAGTACACTTACTGGGTACCCGATAGGTATGGACGCCAAACTTGCATGATGGAACGCCATTTGCTTTCGGTGAAGGTCATTTCTGTTCTTACAGGATGGTGATCTAGTTTATTTTTGCAGGGTTGGAGGGCCTCACACATGCTAGGCAAACACTCTTACCACTGAGCTAGCTACCTCCCCAGCCCAAGAGATGCTAATTCAATTTAACAGTGCCCCACCCAGCACCACCACCTTGTGAATTTGTGAGAGGAACATTCTTCAGTGAGATGCTTTGGAGCCAGGCATGGCAGCAGTCTGTTGTGGATGACTGACCTTGTGCTACATTTTGCTTAGAATTTAAGAATTGGTAACAGGGCCTGAAGAGGGGGCTTAGAGGAGAACTTGCTGTTCTTGCAGAAGGCCTGGCTTCTGTTCCCAGCACCCACATCTAGTGTCTCACAACACCTGTAATTCAGTGCCCTCTTCCAGCCTGCACATACATGGCATGCATGCATATTCTCAGCCACACACATATACAAATGAACAAACAGCAACTTAACAGCAGCATGGGCATATATAGAATTGCAAAAAGAGAGCGTTGCCTTCAGAAAATTGTTAAGCAGTCTGGTTGATCCAGAATACACAGTTGGACAAGTTGGATCGAAATATGTTGATATTTCTCATCTTTGCTAAGGAATGTGGCCTTTCTATAAACCATGGGAGCTAGTGGGGGGCCGTTAAGCAGGGACATGGCACCAACTGTTTCTTTCTGACCCAAAGTAATGTACAGAAGAAAAGAGCTTCTTTGGCTTACACTGCCAGGTCAGTCCATTGCTGAGGGAAGTCAGAAAGGACTCAAGGTGGGAAGCTTCAAGAAGCAGGAAGCGTGGAGGAATGCTGCTCACCAGCTCACTTATTCCTGGACTTGTGGACTTGTGCTCAGCTAGCTTCCTTACACACCCAGGACCACCTGCCTAAAGATGGTGCCATCCAAAATGGCCTGTGCCCTCAGTTAAGAAAACCCTCACCGACATACCCTCCCACCAATCTGATAAAGACAGGTCCTTAACTGAGGTTTTTGAAGTGATTCTAGGCTATGTCAAGCTAATATTAAGACAGACCCATATTTTGTTTTATTTCTTCTCTCTCTCTCTCTCCCTCCCTCTCCCTCTCCCTCTCCCTCTCCCTCT